TCTTACACTAATGCCATCTTCTTTATGAGACCTTCAGTCTTCAAATCAGAGACTATATAGAATCCTTGATTTAATATGTGTTTTATTCAATTTCCTCAGTTTACTATTTGTTTCTTTACTTATAAAATCAAAGCCTATGTGCTGTACAGAAGAAAAAGAATTAGCAGTCTCAGGATGCTGAGTTAGTAGCCACAGGTCTACAAGAACACATGCCAAAATCTAGAACCAATGTGTGTTGTATGAATATCAGCTTTGCTCAAAATGTAAACTGAAAATAGGTGTTACAGGAATGAGGGAGGGGGCGACAGCTGGGATACAAAGTGAATAAAATGTAATTAATATAAGAATATAAAAATATAAAAAATTTTAAAAAGTAGGCATTTATATAAAAATATAAAAATTTATGAAAAGTAGACATTACAGGACATGAACATTCATTGGGTTGTTTCTTTTACTGTGATAATGATGTGTTCTTGTTATTGCTGTTATAATAATGTGTGATAACATTATGGTCAAGACAGAATCTTACATACCCTAATATCCATTGTGGCTTAAAATCTTGGAACAAAAACATATCCAGTAAATATTTTTAATTAGGTAAATGAAATCTATATTCATTGAACTCTTTTAATAAAATATTTTCTCTTTAGTACATAGCTTTTAACACTGAAAAACATGAAAATTAATTCATTTCACTCACCCTGATGGAACACTCTATGGAACTCTTAAACAAATACTGGTATATAGAGTTTTCTTTTCAATTCTTCAGCCTTGTGGACATAGACATCCTTTTATGATTGAGGCTATCTGCTTAACAGAGCTGTATGGCAACTTCCTCATCGTGTTTACTATAATAAGACAAGGAATTATTTCTTCCATGGTTTAAAGAATACGGTCTAAACTCTCTAAAGTAAATGTATTTCCCCTCTAAATTGCTCAATGAAAATAGGCTTGGAAAACACTTCTATAAAATAATCAAAGAAGAGTCTACAAAGATTAATATAATTATATCATTAGATCATGCTCCCTTCTCCTTGCTTCCCTCAAACCCTCCCATGTATTATTTTGAGTCACAGTGTGGCATGGAAGAGCATATAATTTCAGATTACAGCTAAGCATTAGTTTAGATTGTAATAGCTGACCACATGTGACATCCAAGGCAAGTAGACTTGATTGTTATACATCATTATCTTAAACACAAACATGCTGATGGAACTCTTAACCTAAAGATGTATTGGCAACTCTGACTGTAAAGATCAGCCAAAGTTCCAGTTTATAATAATGTAAGAGATATTTTCAGAATATTGTATGCCACTTTTAGAGATATTTTCAGAATATTGTATGCCACTTTTGCTTGGGGCTCTTTCTGGAATATTCATGGTCTAAGGGGGCTGTTGTTACCTACAAGCTTTAAAGAATCAACAGAGCAAAAGATACATAGCTACTATCCAGCTGTGAAGCTGTTTGCCAGGAAGACCATTTTGTCTATACATGGTATTTTGCAAGACAAATCTGGCTCCCTGCGAAGCCTAAAAGAGAGGATTTCACTGTATCTTTCAGATGCCATGAGCATATACAACCAGCTCTCCCCAAAGGGAAACACAAATATAATGAAAATAATATCAAAGTGAAAAGTCATCTCCAAAAAAAAAAGCCCAGTTAAAATATCTACCACTTATTTCTTCCCAACCCTAACCCAGCATACTCTGTAAGGCTGTGTGTATTCCCATTTTAAAACTGATGAATCTGAGGCTTGGGAAAGTAAAGTATCTTAACTAAGCTCATATAGCTGGTTAAAAAAAAAAAAGAGCTGGGAGCTGAAACTTCTTGGCAGTTTTCCCACTGCAGAACTGCCAAAAAATTTAATGATTAGAATTGAAGTCCATAGGAAGAAAGGCTCACCAAAAGAAATGGGAGATATTAAGAATATCTTTTGGACTTCCGCTGCCTGGAAATGAAAGAATAGGCAGTAAAAACCAGGCAGCATCAGGCAGACTTGATGTCTCAACGTTAGAGCAAAAAGTTTGGATTATATAAGTAGATATCAAACAAGCAGTGTACATGTTTCAAAACATAACTACACAGTAACTGTAGATTTGGGGAAGATGGTACTATGATAGAACAAAAAGGAGACAATCCAAAAGATAGGTTATTAATTATTTATATACATGTAGAAATACATATACTATATAGAGCATTATATTCTAATATTATATATATATATATATATATATATATATAGAGAGAGAGAGAGAGAGAGAGAGAGAAATATATAGTGAATGGTGGTGAGTGGAGAGATGCTCAGCTGCTCTAGTTCCTGAGAATAAATGACAGTTGACCGCTAAGCCCAAAGTAGATTATATACACCACCCACTATATGGAATAGAGATCATAGCAAGACACGGGGAAGTAAGAATGTAAGAGCTGTAAGACAGGGAGTGTGGAGGTCTCTGTAAATACCAGAGCCATCAAGGCAATGATCTGTGAGGCAAAAAGAAAATCCACTTCAACATACTCAGTAGGCAGTGTTGATTCAAACACCCTCACCATGACGTCCACCCCAGCGGAGTCATTGTAACGTCCTCCCCGATGGGGTCACTGTAATGTGCACGCAGTGTGTTCACTGTGCCGTTTTTCTCTAGTGTGCTCACAGTGACTTCCATCCCAGGGAGATCAATGTAGTTTCCTCCCCAGTGGGGTCATTAACTTCCTAGTTTGGTCAACTTGATGCTGTCCCCAATGTGTTCACCGTGATGTCTTCCCCAGTGTAATCAACATCTTGTACTCCCCAGTGGGGTCACTGTAAACTTCTCCCCAGGGGTCACTGTAACACGAATACAGTGAGTTCATTGTTCTTTACCCACCAGTGGCATAACCATGTGACTTCCCCATTGCTTTCCTGGTGACATCCTCCCCAGTGTGGTAACTGTAATGTCCTCCACAATGGAGTCAACTGTAACATCGTTCCCGGGTGGGACACCATAAGGTATGTCCCAGTGGGGTCCCCACTAGAGGGGCCACTGTAACATTCCCCCCCAGAGTGGTCACTGAGATGTTCTCCCCCGTGGGGTCAGTGTAACATCCTCCACAGCGCAGACAAAACATCTTCCCCAGTGGGATCTCTCTAGTGTCCTCGGCAGTGGCGTCACAGCAGTGTCCTCCCTAGTGGAGTCACCCTGATGTCTTCTGCACTTGGGGGCCACTGTGATGTCCTTCCCAGTGCGGTCACTGTAACGTGCATGCAGTGAGTTCACTCTGATGTCCTCCCCAGCGGAGTCACCACAATATTCTCACTAGGGGCTTTACTGTACTGCCCTCTCCAGCAGGCTCATTGGAATGTCCTCTTCAGTGGAGTCAGAGTTTTTCCTCAGTGGGGCCATCTTAACCTCCTCTCCAGGAAGGTCACTCTAAAGTCCTTCCCGGCTCTGTCACTGTAACCTCCCCGGTGGAGTCAGTGTAAACACTTCCCTACCAGGGAAGTGAGCATGCAGTGAGTTCACTGTGATGTCCTCTCTAGTGGGGTCACTTCAACATTCCCCCCGTTGGGTCACTGTAACATGCTCTCCTTGGCGTCACTACGTGTTTTCCTGAGAGGGGTCGCTGTAAAGTCCTTGCCAGTGCAGTTACTGTAATGTCTTTCTCAGAGGGGTGAACAAAATATCCTCCCTAGTGAGGTCACTGTAAATTCACCCCCATGTGGGATAAATGTGATGCACCCCCCCCAGTGGTCCACGAGAGCATACTCCCAGGTTTGATTACCATAATGTGCTCCTTGGTGGGCTCATTGTAAAGTCCTCCCCAGTATGGTCCCTGTACTATAAAGTGCACCCAGCTGCCAGGGATTAAAGAGTAGGAGGGCCTTTGAGTTCAGGGGTAATTTAAGACAGCCATGGAGCAGAAAGGATTATTAGCTCAAGTTCTGGCTTTAGCTTAGGCTTCAGCTCCTCAGTTCCCTGGATTTTTTTGGGCTTTGAGCTAGCAAGCCTTTTGCCTTGGGTTTTGTTTTTTGTTGTGGTTCTTTTATTGTTTTTATTTCTTATTTTTTCTGTCCTTTTGCTCCTGGGCTGCCAGCTGAGCTAGTGAGCCTTTGGGTTTTTCCCATACAGATATGAACTGAGAAGAAAGCTTAGCTAATTACTTTTTCTGCCTCTCTGAGATGGCTGGTTTGCACCCCAGCGTTTGGCTCCTGAGTCTGTATTGGTAAAATAGAACAGTTGGGATTTTCCTTCTTTTTAAACAGCATTCCCCAGTAGGGTGACTGTAACAGCTTCCCCCATGCATTCACTGACGTCTTCTGCACTGGAGTCAGTGTAAACTTCCTCCTACTGAGCTAACTGTAATGTGCATGCAGTGAGTTCACTGTGATATCCTTCACAGTGGGGTCTCTGCAATATACTGCCCAATGGGGTCAGTGTACATCCTCCCCAGCAGGACCACCTTAACTTCCTCCCCACTGGGGTCACTGTACTATCCTACCCTGTGAGGTCACTGTAACCTCCTCTAAATTGTGGTCACCATAATGTTCTTCCCAGTAGGGCCACTGTGATATGTTCCCCAGTGAGGCTACTGTTGTTCTTTGCAGTGAGGTCACTGACACGTCCTCCCCACTGATGTCACTGGAATGTTCTCGCTCTGGGGTCACTGTAACATGCACCCACTGAGTTCACAGTGGTATTTTCTTCAGTGTGGTACAGTATTATCCTCCCTAGTGGGATCACTGTAATATCCTCCCCAGGGGTATACAGTGTAGTGTTCTCCCAAATGGGATCACTGTTTTGTCTACCCTAGTGGGGTCATTGTAACGTCCTCCCCAGTTAGCTTACTGTAGCCTCCTCCTAAGTGGTGCCACTATAATACCCTCCTCAGTTTGTTCACTGGGATGTTCTCCTCCGAGTTATCACTGCACCATCTTCCCCAGTGAGTTCACTGAGGGGTCATTCCAGTGAGGTCACTGTAATGTCATCTCCAATGGGGTGAATGCAAAGTCCTCCCTGGTGATATCACTGTTTTGTCCCCACCAGTGGGGTCACCATAACATCCTCCTCAGTGCAGTCACTGTGCTGTGTCCCATCATGGGTCACTGTAACATCCTCTCCAGGGGGAAAGGGCTCCAGGTACAATTGAAGGGCGTTGCTGAAAACTAAGATCTCCTTAGCATAGGGTGGGATATTTCCAGGAATTCCAGGATGCTTGCTGATCAGGTTTTCTTATCAAAAAAGGGCCCACCCTGTTATCTTCCGAGGGCTATGTGACGCTCCTTACCAATCTGGGTTTACCAGAGCAGGTGTAAAAATAACCCCACAGAGAAAAGAAAGTTGTCATAATAGACTGAGCTCAGCTGGCTATCTGGAAATGCCAGACTTCAAACTTAAAAGCAGGATTTCACATATATCAGTTGACATAGATAAACTACATAAGAAAGGCCCCTATTTCTAAATCCTGATTGGTGGAAAAATGTAGGTGTAACAAGGTGCAGCACAGATGTTTATGGTTTTCAAGCTTAAAAGCTCTGTAACATTATCTCTCAGGAGTGGAGGTGTGTGTTGCAGTTCAGCTCCCAAGTATGTTCCGTGGCCTTGATCAATTGGCAGTGGCTTGATTACAATAAATTCTTGCTATTTGCATTGACCTGGTGTTTGAGTTGTGTTGTATCTCAATAGACCCCATAACACAAAGACCTTACCATATTCTTGACATTCATAGAATTTCTGTCCAGAATGAATTCTTTCATTATGATGACAACTATAGAAATGTGAAGTCTTCATCATTTTATATACATTCATAAGGTTTCTCTCTAGTATGAATTCATTCATGATGATGAAGTGTACAAAAGCTTAACTATATTAAATACTCTTATAGGGTATGAATTCTCTCATGCCTTTATAGAAGACTGTGATATGCAAAGGCTTTACGACATTGGTGACATTCATAGGGTTTCTCTCCAGTATGTGTTCTCTAATGTATTTGGAGACCACTGTGATGTGAAAAGGTTTACCACATTGATTACATTCAAGGGTTTCTCTCCAGGATGAATTCTTTCATGCTTTTGAAGCAGACTGTGATAAGTAACGCTTTACCACATTTGTTACATTTATTAGATTTCTCTCTAGTATGTATTCTTTCATGCCTCTAAAGATGAATATGACATAGAAATGCTTTACCACATTGATTATATTCACAGGGCTTCTTTCCAGCATGTATTCTTTTATGTATTCTGAGATGACCATGATGAGCAAAGGCTTTATCACATTCATTACATTTGTAGGGTTTCTCTCCAATATGTGTTCTTTCATGTCTTTGAAGATCATTGCTATATGCAAAGGCTTTACCACATTGGTTATATTCATAGAGTTTTTCTCCAGCATGTATTCATTTATGTAACTGGAGACTACTGAAAAGTGCAATAGCTTTACCATGTTGATTACATGCATAGGGTTTCTCTTCAGTATGAATTCTTTCATGCCTTTGAGGATGACTTTGACATGCAAAGTCTTTACTACATAGAGTATATTCAGAAGATTTCTCTCTAGTATGACTTCTTTCATGTCTGCAAAGATAACTGGCACATGTGATAGCTTTACCACATTCATTACTGTGATTGTTGGTAAAATGTTCTTGGGGAATGTATACAATTTACCCTTGTTCATTCAAATGCTGATTTCTCTGCCCTACTAAGTGGTTTCAATCGGATGTTGCATTGTGATGCTTATTCTGAGCATCACCTGTCTCAGGTCTCTGTAAACATGCCACCATTTGTTCTCTGCAATTGTCAACTAAACAACCAGCCATTGCTGTGCAATGGAGAGAATATGGTGGAACATCCTGCTCTGGAGGGGAGGAGAAGGAAGCAAGTGGGAGGGTAGAAAAGCAGAGACTGGCAGGAGGACTTGGAACCATGAGGAGAGATGAATTGGACCTAAGATATGACTAAACGCAAGTATAATGTTGGAAAATCTGAATGGAAGGAAATTATGTGGGCTTGAGGGTTGAGGATGAAGTAATCATTGCCCAGCATTGTGCTCTAGGTTAATTAAATAAATCCTAGTCTCTGTGTGGTGATTTGGGTATACAGCTGGTTTAGGAATAACTGCTGTTTAACTCCAGATAAATCAATTATAAATATTAATAACCCACAACCACTAATGAATCTTTTTATCTGTATAAAGTAATCTCACAAATTGGTAAAGAGGAATCAGATATTAAGGTTTTATCACTTTATTTACATTCATTGTATTCCCCTTCATCATGGGTTGTTTTGCATCTTTGAAGATACCTATGATGGTAAGAGCATTTACTTTATGGCTCACCTTTATAGCATCCTTTTTCTATAAGAGGTTTTTCATATATTTGAAAAGAACTGAAGAACTCAGAGCTTTACCATACTAATTGCAATAGTAAATTTCTCTATAGTGTGAGTTACACCTCATTTGCAGTTAACCAGGACAAACAGAAGAATTCCACATTGCTAGTGCTATAGGGATTTCCTGTAGTGTGAGTTTGTGGATGTTCCCAATGAAGTTGGAAAACCAATTAATTGTAAACTTGTATCACATTCAGAAAGTCTACTCAAAGTGGAAACTACTACATATCTTCTAATTGCTCTGGAAGAGAGAGGTCTGTTGCTTTCAATATCCCTTTGTATATATGGCTTGTAATCATTATGACATATGATATACCTATTAAAAGAAGAATAACAAATTAAAGAGTTCCAAATTCCAATAGCACAGTTTGAAATTTTGTTCCTCATAGACATGTGGTATTAGTATTAAGGTTTCTCCACAACAACATTGTTGACTCTGATAAACTGCCCCTTACACTAAACTTAATAATGTTTCTACAAGTATATGAATGTCACCAGGCTTACTATGCACTGTTTACTTATTAGAAGGTTTTGGACATATAATTACCACCTATTCAATGTGTACAGCTTTTGCAATATTTAAGTGGTAAGAGACTAAACAAATTGGCACTTCTACAAGTCAATTGATGATATATTGTTTCCTTGTCTTCTTTCTTAAATGAATGTCTTGCAAACACAAATCAGATACTTGGCACTGAGGAACATGGTTTTATTAATTAATCATTGATACACTTAAACAGTGCTTTTTTTCCCCATGTCTTCTAGATCTTTAACAATGTTCTTCAAAAGTGTGGTCCTCCCAATTGTAGCCTAAAATATAGTGTCAAAAATATAATATTGGAAATTTAAGTTACTATCTTCAGTAATCTTAAAACCATGCCTGATTTGTTCACCTCATTCTTCCTCATTCTCAAATAACATTGCAGAAGAGCATCAATAACAAAGAAAGATATCTCCTTATTTTTAAATGCAAAAGAAAATTTACAGTCTTTCTATAGCCATAAGATTCCTGTAGGTCTCCCTTGTAGAGACTCTTCTGGGAAGAATCCAACGATGCCCACTCTTCCCAAGTGAAGTTCACATGCACATCATCATGGGTGATCGCATTCTAAAATATCCCACACATGTGTACAACAGAAGGCATGTTACTGACAACACTGTACACATATTCTTCATTGAAAAATATATTTATATAATTCTGGTGCTTCCTCCACTTATTTCCTGACACAAAAGTTCTAATGTAATCATCAAGTCATTTCGAGAAGAAGCTGAATAATGAAGTTCATCTATGTTATTTCTGAGAGCTCTGAATAAGATATAGCCTTGCAGGACAAAAGCCAGTTAACAGAGAGGGGAGAAGGGAGAGAGAGAGAGGACAGAGGAGGGAGAAAGAGAAGGAGAAAAGCATCAACAGAACTGAGCACACATCAGAGATATTGCATGAACAATCACTAACCACAAGAAAAAAGATGGGCAATCTAGTTGTATTGACTCAGACCTTTAATTCTAGCACTCAAGAGGCAGAAGCAGGTGTATCGACTTGAGTTGGATCCAGCCTGGTCTATGCAATGAGTTCCAAGACAACCTGAGGTATATATTAAGACCCTGACTCCCCTACAAAAAAAAAAAAAAAAAGAGTAACCAAACAAACAAAAAAGAATGAACTCAGAGATCTTTACTGAAGTTCCTGCAAGGAATTATACATTCATTCCAGTTCTAAATTCATCTTCCAATCTTCCAGAAACTTGAAGTACCCCACTTTAAACTGTAACATTAATAAGATCTTACTAAAAGTGAATGCTTGGTTAAACAGTTGCAAATGGACAGATGAAATTCCTAACAATGTAAATGTTGATCTTAAATAAGCAACACAGGACAGGAGTGATGACTCAGCAGTAAAGAGCTCTTGCTGGTCTTGCAAAAAATTTGGCTCAGTTTCCAGTACTTACAGGGGACTCACATCCATTATTCCAAAATCAGGGGTTATGAGGGGTTATAGCTACTGTAAGAACCAAGTACACATGAAGTGCATATTCATGAATATAGGTAAAACACTCAAATTCATTCAAAAAGAAATTCAACACAAACACAACAGATGGGAAGAATGTCAAACACCTGGAATCCAATGACTCAGAAGGCTCTGGGAGTATTAAAGTCATGAATACATGAAAATCCTTAGAAATAGAATATACTCTCTACCAAATTTCAAAATTCAAGATGGAGATGAAGGTCAGCACAACAATATATGTTTGACATGTACAAACACCAACATTCCAGGCCCATTAGCCAATAATATAAAAAGAGAAAAGGCCAGGCATGTTGGCCCACATATAATGCTAGCACTCTGGAGCAGGATCAGATGGATTTCTAAGTCTGAGGACTTTCTGGTCCAAATGCCTACTTGCAGGACAGCCAAGGCTACACAAAGAACCTTTGCAGTCAAAAACAAAACCAAAATTAACAAAAATTAAAAGCATCAGACTACCAAAATAGCCTAGCATTGAATAGTAATTGCTTTTTACTCTATCTTACGTGATTTAGGACTAGAGTCTATAATAGGGAAAGCATGACAGCATGAGAAGAAAGCTGACCAATCAATTTCAACCACAATGCAGCAGACACAAAAACAGTGTGTGCTTCAGACCCAGGACAAAAGGCTCCAGGTTCTCCCAGCATCCTTCGATCCCTACCTGCTGTAGGATATGTTTGGCATGCTGCACCCTCTACCCTGGACTTTCCAGCCCAGGGACAGGGGATTCCCCTTCCCCTTCACTATATAATCCAGACATTTTGGTTCCCATCCCTCTCTCCTCTTGATGACTCTCTCTCCTCTTCTTTCTCTCCTCTTTCTATACATGTCTCTCTCTCTCTCTCTCTCTCTCTCTCTCTCTCTCTCTTCCCCATACACCTGCATGGCAGCCAAGAGCTGCTTCCAATAAGCCTGCATTTGTAGACTTTAACTTGTCTTGTAGCTCACATTGCTACTTCCAGTAAGTTTATCAAACAGAAAATGGGTTAAGTCTACAGACACTCAAATCCCATCCCATCCGCAATAAGGAATCTAGAAAAGCTCCAACTGGAAAAGCTTCCATACGCTCCCACAAAGAAAGACCCAAAGGAGAGATAAGTGTCCAAAGACATCATCCTATATAAGAGCTTTTTTGTTGTTTTGTTTTCTTTTGTTTTGTTTTTCAATCAACTACATTCTGACTCTGGTCACTACAGGCTCATTGTCATCCCACAATGAAAATGCAGTTAGTCTAACTTTAACAATCCTAATACTCTGCAAACAGCCCATACACTGCTCAAATACCAAGGTCTCTTCTGAAACTGAAGACAATCTCTTGATTGCCACATCTTGTCAGACCAGAAAACAAATTTTATTGTTCCAACATTCAATAGCACAGAATACCCCTTCCCATTCTAACGGAAAGGAACGTGTACATAGGGAGGGAAGGTTGGACCAATGTAAGAAATGGCAAACAACAAATTCTACAGTTCTGTCTCAGACACATGGAGCTTTGGTTTCAAAGGGTTTACATGTCCCTATCTTTGAAACTCCTCATACAGCTCTCAGTTTGGTTACTTCCACTCGTTGCAGGCATCTCTCCATGGCAGATTTCTCATAGCTTGAGTATCTCAATATCTTGTGGTCTGAAAATGCAACTCAGGCTTCATACCCACAGCTTCATGCAATGAGCTCTCACAGTTTCCTCACTGAGGCTCTGACTCCACCAGAGATGGCTGGAACAATGCTGAACTGAAACCACAAGAGAAGAATCCATGACCTTGAATTTTGCATCTTTCTTGTTTCCGGAACCATGACAACGTGGGTGATCCAGTTAAGTTTGCCTTCTAAATTGTGATGCACTATGAAGTTCCTGCCTGGGACTAGGAATAACTCTGCCTATTCCTTCTATTAATTTAAGTTTTGGCAGGAGGGAGTGTTACTCTTAGGGCAAGTTCTCACGCTTCCAATCCAGAGCAGGGAAGGGCGTTCTCTTTAATGGTGAAACTCTCCTGGAAAATTCCTACCTCTATCTCAGCCTTAAACCGCCATCTGAAACTACCTGGTGGGAAATCAGCCCATTACTTTAAATTCTGCCTCACTCAATTTCTCAGGGCATGGGCAGGATAAAAAAATAATAATTTGAGCCAAAATACCACACAAATGAACTCTAGTAA